ATCCTCCTCCTGCCCGGGTGCCCCGCCCGCGGGCTGGGGGTTGGGGCGCGGAGCTCCCGGCTTGGGGCGACCCCGCCGCAGCCCCCGCACGCAACAGCGCCGCCTACGGAGCAGGGGAGGAGAGGCGGGAGCGACCCCGCCCCCTGCTCGGCGCTGGGGGAGGGGGAGCAGGGGCGGGGCCCGAGCTCTCTCATTGGTCCGCAGCCGAGCTGTCCCGCCCACGAGCTCCGCAGGATCCCTCCCAGAAGCGCGTCAGCGGGTTATTGTTACAACCCGGGGTTTCCCGGGGCAACGGGGAAGGGGCGGGGCTCAGGGCACTTGGCCCCGCCTTCTGCTCCCCGGAGGGGGGGAGTGCCCCGCCCCCTGATTCTAGACCCCGGGTTTCCAATCTTCCAAACCTGATAGGGCGGATGATCGAGCTCTCTTTTGTGCCCTGGACTGGGCTGGGGAAAGGGAAGGGATCAAGAATATCTGAGTTTGGGGCCACACTTGGCCACAGTTGTAGCTTCTCCATCTGCACATGGGTTCTTCATGGGCTCTTAGGGGACCTGTGGACATAGTTTTAGAGCCTCGGTTTTCAAAGTTTAACATGTAATAGAATCAACCTGGAGAGCTTATTCAAACGTTGCTGGGCCCCAGCCCAGTAAGTCTGGGTTGGGGCTCAAGACTTTGCATTTCTAACAAGTTCCCAGGTGATGCACCTGGACCACACTTGGCAAACCACTGTTTTATAGCCTCTGGGAGGCTCTTGCAGGGGCTGTTGAACAAGCTCTTGCCCTAAAGTTCATCCCATTTGGGGAGAAGCTTCTCATTTATTTAACAGATATTTATTGAGCACCTTGAATGCATGAGGCACCGTCCGGGCCACTCCAACAAGAGTGGCAGACGACAGAGACAGATGAGGTCCCTGCTGCACAGGCTAGTGGAGGAGTCAGATGTTGATCCGATCACCATATGGCCTCAGAAAGGAGAGGCCGCCTGAGAAGCTGGGCTGTCCATGACCTCATCCCACAGAGTCCTGGGCTAGGTCTCCAGCCCCCACTCCACCTGCCAACCTTTGCGCCTCTGCCTGGAACACCCTTTTCCCTCCTCAGGGCCCTCACCAGAGATTCTCCCATTCCTCAAAGCTCAGCGCAATGTCAGTTCGTCCTGACACCTTCTCTAGCCCCAGCTCCCACCACTATCTCCGTTACTTGCTTGCCCCTGGCACTTGCTGTTCTGCCAGCCACACCTTGGGTCCCTTTAGTATATTATTTCTCTTTTGCCAGTCAGGACACAGAAGCCTGGAGTGGGGAGGTAACTGGCCAGGACCAGAACCCCAAGCTCTCCAGCCCGGGTGGTACTGCATCTGGAGAGGTTGGAGACCAGGCTGGAGACTGCAGCTTTCCTCTTTCTCTGGGTAGTCGGGGGCCAGACCCCACCACAGGGGACAGCCAGCTCTCAAAAATTCCTTCCTTCCAGCTTGGGTCCTGAGGAGTAGGTCCAAGGGTGACGGTGGGGGCAGGGCTGGAGGGGCCCCTCCTCACCCGCCCCCCAGGGTGGAAGGAGGCCCAGCTTGCAAATGCCTGGCATGGCATCTGCCTGAGTCACATCCTAAAGGCAGGGGTGGGCATGGGAACCATTGGCTGCCCTCGTTCTGCATAGATACACACACCCTCCAGGTGGTTCTGTTTAGAGTCACAAGGGGCCTGAAATCACTGCTGGACCCCCTCCCACACTTCTCATATGCCCTGCCTGCCTGGGGAGCCCACACTGCGGGCAGCCCCCCAGGTACCCTGGAGGCCACGCAGGCTTCTTGCCAGTCTCCAGCCTTGGCCCAGCCTGCTGTGTGAGCCAGGGGCCTGCTGGGGGCCATACCAGAGCTGGGAGGATCCCTTAGCTGGGGGCCCTGGCGCAGGCTGCCACTGCGGGGCTGGGAAGTCAGATTGGCAGAGAAGCCATGGAGGCTGACTCAGGCTCTGCTGGGGCCCCTGCCCCGCCCAGTGTCCACGGCTGCTGCCGGCACTCTCCTCTGGGACCCACGTCTGGCACACTCAGCCTCCCCCACACACACACTCAAACTCACACTTACCACAAATACAGACACTCATTCTTTACTCACAACTTGGCCCCTGCTCACACATTCATTATGAGGCAGTATCACATAGTGGTTAAGAGTAGGGGCAAGTTACTTAACTGCTCAAAGCCACTATTTCCTGATCTATAAATGAGTATCATCACAGCACGGACTTCGTGGGGTATGCAAAGAATTCAATAAGATCATAAATGTCAGCATCGGGCTCAGAGTAAGTGCTCAATAAATGCTAGCTGTTTTTGTGACCATTGCTGGTGCTCCTACACATCTTCCCTTCCTACTTGTCCCAGATCACACTGCCCCCCTGCTCTCAGCACACACACACTCGCATCCGCTGGTGCACACTGGCTCACTCACACACACACCTGCGTACGTCCCTTCACTTGTGTCCCCAAACCCTCCTGAGGATTCCCTTGGCCCCAGGCCTCTCACACTCTGCTCCCTTCACCCACGCTTGCTCTCCCATATACCCTTCTTACCACTCCCACATTTGTTCCTGCTCACAAACAAGCCCCCACTTGCTTACCCTTGCGCTCTTCCCCCCTCCACGCCCGGGATCGTTTGCTTCTGCTCACACCTTCCCATGCACTTGAACATGCTCACATTCCAACGCATGCACACTCGCTTGCTCTTACACTTCCAGATACATGTTTTACCCATTCAACTTGTACTTGGATCCCAAAACTTGTGCACAGACACGCAAGCAACCCTGGTGCGTGCCTCATGACCTCAATGCTCCCTCCCCTCCCAGTGACCAGTGCACATTACACAGTCCTCCCTATTGTGAACATGGACACGGCCGCAGGGACACTCCCCTCACCCTCGGAGGACTGTCTTCTCCTGAGCTGCTCCCCTCCTCCAGGCTCCGCTCCCCAGCCCTTCCCAGCTCTCAGAATAGCCTCTGCCACAGCGGCCACTGTCACTGCTGAGCTGTCAGGGCCCGCCAGAGCCCGCTTCCCCGGTGCTTGGTGCCGGCTGTCCCGGCTCACTCGGGGCAAGTGAGGACAGGAGGACGGGCTTCTCTGAGGTCTGATGGGCGTAGCTACTCTGCACCCCCCAGAACCTCTTCCAGAGCTCACCTAGAAGGAAGGTGGCTCTCGGCGGAAGTCCACTGCCACTGGCCCAGCATTCTCCGAGCCCCCAAAGGGTATTGCCTGTGTCCCCTCATTCTCATACCACCAGGGGAAGGCAGAGAAGGCTGCCTCCCCTTCGTGGCTCAGACAATCCAAGGTCTGAGGAGGAAGAGGTTTGCTCGAAGCGGCACAGTGATCTGGGAGCAGAGCCAGCCATTCCTAGCCCCTCGTGGGGGGCTGAGGAGGACCCTCCCCTAAACCACACAGATATTATCAAGAACCAGCCCCCTGCCCCCACCTTCTGGTGCCGAGCAGAGCCTGGTTGACATTTGATGCCACAGTTGTCAGGAAAAGAGAATAGCACAGGAGTGATGTCTGGGGACGCCTCTGGAGGGGAGGGGCTGGTGCCCAGACGAGGCCTCCAGGGGTGGAAATGGGGAGCGTCTGCAGAAGCCAGAGGGGACATCAGGACAGCTGGGAGAGCCTCCAGAGCAGGCTCAGGCCTGGCCCAGGGACAGTGTCAGGGAGTGGGTGGGGCTGAGCTGAGGCTGTGTGGCGGAGGGGGACAGTGCAGCGGGGGAGGGCCCTTCTGATGAGACCTGAGCCTCCTTGAGCTGCCTCCACAGTCCCTGCCTGGGGCAGAGGGTTCTGCTGGCTTTGGGCAGGCAGCTTAGACCAGTGACTGCCGGGTGCCCAAGGACCTGGTGTTCTCCTGGGCCAGGGGGCGGTGCCACACTGACAGGGCAGACAATTAGTGCTGATGCGTGCTGCTCTTCCAGGCCAAGCCCGTTCTGCACACCATCCCATTCAATCCTGGGTCTTTATCCCCGTAAGTTGTATGGAGCACTTACTGTCAGCCTTTGCAGAGCACCTGACAAGCACTATCCAGAAGAATCTGGCCCCTTGGGAGCAAGACCTTGGCCCATCTTGTTCACTGCGGTATCCCTAGAAACTAGAGTAGGGGCTGGCACAGAGACTGTCAACACATGTTTGTTGAATGACAGAATGAGCCCATTTCATTCTCCCAACCACCTGAGAGGCAGTGACCATGTTTCCCATTCTCTAGATGAGGAAAGAGGTTCAGAGAAGGGAAGTGAGTGGCCTCCCTCCCTAGGATTCAAACTGGAGTCTAAGTTTGCTCCTTGCATCGCACCTGGAGGCACCTAGAGTCTGACGGGCAAATCCTTTCCCTTCTCTGATGCCTCATGGGGCATCTGGGAAATGGCTCTAGTCACCCACGGAGGGTGATCA